GCGGCAATCTAATCCCAATTAAACTTTAGCAAAGCAAATTTTAATAATAACTTCTCCAAAAGTTCAAATCTGATAGATTTGTTGAAATGAGCGAGGTTCCTTTCAAATTTATTCAAAAAATCAACGAAACGAATCAATAAACGCGTAAAACCAGAGCGAAAAAACAACATCAAACTTACTAGCTTGAACAAAAAACAAAAGGTTTTACTTATTTTTAAACGACAATGAGTGATGACATCTGGAATTGCAGCGGAGACCAAGCTTTCGGCAACAATATTGATTTGAGCCGCATCCACCAGTACATATGCAGTGCTTCCTCGTTTGGAAGTCGATCACTGCTATTCACAGTGATCGACTGCTATTCGAGACTTTCGGTGATTTCTATTTTCTCTAATGCTGACAATAAGTATATTTGTTGACAATCCCCCTATTCAAAAATTTTTGATCATAGGGGTTTTTTGCTGAATTGCTGATGCTGATGAAATTGCTGATGCTGAAAAAAAAATTGCTGATGTTTTTATTGATGTCACGCAAACTGACAGTCAATTAAGATTCAAGCGATGGTTCAATCCTCTTTAGAATGATCTTAAAAAAAGCAGTGAAGATCAAAAGAAAGAAGTCACTCATTGTGTTATCTGCAATCAAATTAACGACACTCGAAGAAGAGGGTGAAACTGTAGAGTTTGTTGACCTATGAAGTCAGACCTTGGTCAAAATAAATTTAGTTTTTAAACTTCAATGTCTGAACTCGCCTGGGTCAACCAAGTTTTAAAAGTCGTGTAAATCTTGCACATCTTTTGAATATACATTAAAGTTACTCTTATGCTTCAATTTCATTTGTTTTATAAAAGTTATTTATTGCCTTGTTATGTGTCTTTCAAAGTCTTTCAAATGCGTATGTGCTTTTTACTTTGCATTTCAAAGACTTTACAAGTAAACTTTGCCTTAAGCAAAGGATGTAGGCGTTTGTGTAGAAAGAGAAAAATAAGAAAGCCGAGTTTCCGAGACTACAATGCATTTCTAGTTTCCAAAGATAATTTAAATTTTAAGAACACCCGTGATTGTTGGCACCCTTCGTGTTGGCAAATCTCCTGCAAACATGAGAAAACGTTTGCACTCCGCACGTTTGCACTTCGCAAAGAAAGTCGTTAAACCCTTGTGATTGGAATGGCAACAAAATTCTCGAATAATTTGCTCAGTTTCGAGAATATTTAGGGATTGACTTGTTAATTAGTCAAAATGAAGGTTGAGAAGATATATTGCTTAAATTTGAGCGCTACTTTTTGTTCAATCTATAACTTTTTGCGGTTTTAACTTTCTGACATTCTACTAGTTAGACGAAACCTTCCAAGAGTTACAACCAAGAGTAAAAGGTTTTGAGTTTTACATGAGAATTATAATAACATCATGCAGCACTCTGTATCAGCAGGTTGTATCATTTTCAAGCTATATCATTTCGTTATATCATTTTATCATATCATTTTATCATATCATTTTTTTCAAATATAAAACCTTTTCATTAGCACATGTTCCATCTTTTATTTTGCTATTTTGCTATTATTTGATTCCTTGATGGTTTTAAATTTAAGTACCGACCCCCAAAAAAGGTATGTTTGAAATCCTGACATTGCTCACTTCCCACTTTCCCCTTTTTAGTGCCAACAGAGACTTATGAAGGCTTATTTTTGCATGTAAAGCCGTCATGTGTAGGAGTTATTTCTAGATTAAAGAAAGGCAAACAACCTAATCCGTACAGGAAAGTCGGTCGTAAAATTTAAACGGAAATAGCTATGCTTGTCGTAATCTCAAGGTGATGTAATCTCGGGCTTTTTCTTCTTACTATATATTGATATTGTGGGGTTAAGCTGGCGCCAACACTTAGTCGATCACAAGGGTTTTTGAAGGGTTTGGTAGCACGGCACAGTCACGGATTTCCGAAAAAAAAAAAAATTTATGGATCAATGTTCTTGTTGAGGCATTTCTTCGGTGATTTTAGTGACCAAGATCTTTCATAAAATAGGCTTAAGCTGGCAACACTTAGTTATTTACATTAGATTACACAAACAGACTTCAGTAGATGCGCACTCGATCCAAGATATAACTCAAACAAAACGAAAAATAAAAAGTTTAATTACAAGCACATCAAGTTTGACCTTGACTGTCAAATAGTGATGGCGTTGTGCATTTTCACATTGTGTACTTCACATTTTGGCAAACATTTCTGTTTTTGAAACCTCTAATCTTTGCTGTCATAAATTGGTCAATCATAAATTTCAGCATGGGTCGTTTGTTGGCAAACTAAGAATTGGAAGCAATGATGTTCCTTGTTCAAATATTGATTCTACTCGGTCAATCACCCATCTTGGCTAGTCGAAATTTTCAATTAGCAAAGGATTCTCCCTCATTCGCCATTCACGGTGATCGACTTCAAAACTTTTCGGTATTTTCTATTTCTCTAATGCTAACAATAAGTAGTGCTAACAATATAGTATACATTTGTGTGTTGAATTTTGTTGGTGGGTATGACTCGGCACGTCACAGGTTCTCGTTTCCCCCAAAACTTAATTGCCCGTCGCTACCCGGGACTGAACCGTTTCGAGAAATCCAGGGAATCGTTCGCGGGACTTGTTCCTTGCGAGTGGTGAACTGGCTTGATCGCGACGGTTTGAACCGGGTAAAAGTCGTAACAAGGTACCGGTAGGTGAACCTGCCGGTGGATCAATACTGTAAACGCCTCGCGTCACAGTGTGCTACGACACAGCTATAAGCAGTTGAGTCATAACTTTTTCTCATTTTTTTGCTACTAACCCACTAATCCATTATGAGCCAAAGTTACCCATTAAGAGCCAAAGTTTCATGCCGATCTGATGCTCAATTATGCAGAAATCAGAATGAATGTGCGGAAAAGTCAGGTTATGAGTTAAATTGCTAAACTTGAACGCTTCAAAATTTTCAACAACTCGTCGAATGCAAAAACAAATTAAAGCAGTATACTTATACACGATCAGAAGTTAGAATAGACACCAAACACGATTAAATATCCTTTTAAACCCTTTGACATTGACATTGACTATTGACAAGTTAAAATTCGGAATTCGGTCGATTTTTGAGGATCTGGGAGATATTTTTTTGAGAACAAGAAACTGGGGATAAAATTTGATTTAGTTAGATTTAGATTTGATTAGTTTAGTGCTTGTTTTCATTGTTATCTCAAGTGCTTTTACTACTAAAGGCGCCACTTATTTTGATTTCTAAATAGTGGCTTAACTAAGTTATGACTAAGTTTTCGGGAAAACGAGAGTCTGCGACGTGCCAGGTCCAAATTGCATAAACCTAATACATTGCATAAACCTTAAGCCCACTAACCCAATAGATTGTAGTTTTATTGAATTGCAATGCATTGCAGCTCCCTATTCAACACTTTTTAGAGCATCGGAGTTTCTGCAAAAGAAATTGCCGATTTTCTTATTGATGTCACGCAAACTGACTGTCAAGAGTTACCTACTCGAAAAGTAAATCAAACATTTATTATCTGAGGACCAAAATTTATGAATGACAAGAATTCTAGTCAAAGAGTCTTACTAAGAACGAGCCAGTCTGCACTGATCCGATTCCTTTTACAATTAACGGAATCTCACCAACAGCTACATTTGATGAAGAAATGTACGCATCTTAAGTTAAAATCCATCATTTTTTATCTTTTCAGACTTTATTCGAGTTCTCCAGGAAATACTCAGATCGGTCATTTCTATGCGAGTTCTTTCAAAATTGAAAACGAGACATTGCTCACAGTGCGTCCTAATGAAAAAGTGAAAAGCAATTATGCAATATCTTTTCGAGTTCGACAATGGGTTAATGGTTGTTTGGAAAATCCAATAACTTAATTTATACATTAGAAACTCAAAAAATACTGGTTCTTCCTGGCACTACTCGACATCTCATTTACGAAGTCTTAATCAAAAGTGGTGTCACTGCCACAATTGTTCCCAATCCGAAGACTTATTTCTCATCAGAAAAGTTCGTTGAATTTAAACCAGATATAATGCTTAAATTAAAATTAAAAAGCCAACTCTTGTTCTAGTTTGCGAGGCCCGTTAACAAAACAGACGCCAGTTGATCATCAAATCGAATCAAAAACATGCTCCTTTTTTCAGGTTTGACGCATAAAAAAGCTTTTTAATATACTTTTAGTCAAATATTACGTGTTCCACTCAAAAATTGTATCAGATCTATGCGGGTTCTGATCCTGGAACTGCAAAAAACCCGAAACATTTGCTAATTGAAACAGAGTAAGCTATTTACAGGATGACAAAGAAATTATGGGCACAGGCCTTTTAGTAATTTAGTTGTCAAAGGTCTAATTTAATTCAAAAGTACCAAGAGTTATATAGAGAGTTGAAACCCTGAATCCTGGCTCATTTACCTACCGCGAAACTTCCCAATTATAAAATTCGATTCAACTACCAAGCTCGGAAATCAGCTCTAACCGGCCTTTCTTCGAACGGCTGCCATTTTGTAAGGATTTCTTTAGAAAAAAATGATAGCGCTCCGAAGAAAGGCCGGCTAGAGCTGATTTCCGAGCTTGGTAGTTGAACCAAATTTTATAATTTGGACATTTTGCGGTAGGTAAATGAGCCAGGATTCAGCATTTCAACTCTCTTTATAACGCTTGGTACTTTTGAATTTAATTAGACCTTTGACACCTACATTACCAAAAGGTAACAACTACATTAATTTTTTGTCACCCTGTACAAACTTTAAACATACATGATTTGTCGCTTACAGATCAGGGACATCGATCGATTCAAGGAACTCGGCATCAAGTGTGTTTACTCGGAATCAATGCAATTTTTGTTTGATTTATAACACAAATATTCCAGGTTTTGTTTCGGAAAATCGAATTCCAAAAAAAAGTCGCTCTTTCAGCACTTAGTTTGGATGTGTTTTCATTGTGGACACCTTTTTGGTATCCTTGGTTTTTCGATCTACCTGATAAAAGCATGTTTAGCCCACAAAATGATAAGCAAGTGTATTACGAATACGCGGTTGGTGCTAACAAAACCAAATGAACAAATAAATCTAATCGAAAACTGTTAGGCAGAGTTCAAACCATTCATCGGCGAGCTGAAACAACTCAGCGGTGGAGAGGTTATTGTTTACGGGACCAAAGCGGCTTGTGACACGACAACATTCAAATTCAGGTTTTGTTGATGATCGTCACGTTCAAAGCTTTAGTTTTAGCTATACTTCTGTGCCCTTTTATCCAAAGATTCCTTTTCAAGCACAATGCATTCGGGTCAGACAAATAAGAAACAATAAAGTAACCTAAATTGTCTCAGTTAGAATGGCAACCTTCGACTCCTCTTCAAGATGACTCTGGCTTTCTCATTTATATTTGGGATCAAACTCTAACAAACGTTACCACATCGGCTTTGACTACAACAACCTTAACGGAAATCACAACAGACTCAACGATGACTTCTTCTGAACAAAACGGAGCGGGAACTCTTCGTGTTTTTTCTGTCTCTGTGTTTGCGTTTATAAAAGTGTGCCGTTGCTTTTGACACAGTAAATACTTGAAATCTTCTACTTGAAAACAAAACAGCTACACACACCGTTTATTTGAAAGAAAATACTATACTGATAAGGTTATTAAATTAAATTAAAGTTATCATCATTGCCAGAAAATATGATAGTATTTTTCAGTCATTTTATTTCTGACAAAACAAACGGTAGAAAAGAGCTTATATGAAAGAGCTTTCAGTTAAAGCAGTCACTTCTCTCTCTTTCTCTGATAAAGTCGTTCTCATTTCTGCTGCAGAAAACTTGAATAATGCTGTTGGTTTTATTTCTTTTCCAGTTTCTTTTTTGTCCCTTTGTCAATGGACGTCGCACAATGCAATTGTATCTTGATGAAAAATCACCATCCTTTGCAATTCATGGCTTTCGATTGGCCATGTTCGAGGTTTTTTTGAATTATCGAATTTGAATTTGAACATTTATTATCGAAAAGTTTGCATACATACCTTTAACACAATTTAATTTGACTTTTGTCTATAAATGATTTTAGACCATTACAATGACACCAGTGAATTGCACGTTTTGCAAATGGATTATCGATTACACTCAAGCTAACTGTATCGACTCTGGATCTAGTGCGGAACCTGGCAACTGTTTTGATCCGATTCCTTTTTTGATTAATGGAGAAGAGCCTGGTCTACCAAATATCTTTGAATTAAAGTATGATTTATATTTCACTCCATAGGATTCTGGAAGTCACAGAAATCCACATGCTTTAGGTACCAAGACTTAATAAAGTTTCCAGATAAGAGTTTCTAGATAATCGATTCCAGATTTCCAAATGCTACTGTTTAAATCTCCAACAAATCAATTTTAGGCCTCGTACCGAATCAGACTCATTCTACATGGTCACCACTAAGCTGAATATGACTCACAAAATTGTACTATCTTCTAAAGCAAATGTGGTGTCTTATGACTTTGCCGTTTCATTGAGAATCGAAGAATGGCAAAATGGTTTGTAGGCTTGTTCATTGTGCTTGGCTTGCTTGACTTTTCATTGTGCTTGGCTTGCTTGGCTTGTTCATTGTGCATTATGGCCAGTTTTCCAATCCTTGTCGCATTTGTTTTTTCTTTTAAAAATGCTTTTCTTAAATTAAAGGTCAATCCCACATTCATGTCAAATGATCACCTCTTTAGATACCAAGAAAAAGGTGGTGATCCCGGGAACAGGAAATAATCAAGCTAGCTTTTTCGTGGCTGTTCAAAGGGACGAAATCCTTACGATTGTGATCAACCAGACAAACGAGTACTTTATTGCGAACTTTTCTTTCTATAGCTTCAACATAGTTATGATTCTGTTTAGTAATGGACCCATAACAAAACTACTCGTTTTTCCAATCACCGATCCAGAAAGAGTACCTGCTTCCTGTAGAATTATTACGGTCAGAAGGGATTTTTATGAGATAACAAATGAAATAAACTTCACATAACACATCGATTATATCATTTGAATGATTTAAGCAAGAAGAGAAATGCTCAAATGAAGAGCTTTTTCCCGTCTACTTCGGTTCTGCTCTCGGTGCAAGCTTCGAGAAGCGTTACCACTTAATCGATGCTATGTGGGTTTTGTAATTTCTTTACTCAAACTATTCTCAAAAAATAAGACTAAGACTATTATAAGACTTGAGCTTGAACCAACAAGTGCTTTCAAAAACGACAGCGACCACGATTTTCGTCGAAAAGCAATGTTCCTTCTGTCTCTTGTATCAGCCAGACATAGGTCTGTATTGACAAATAAGAAAAGCGTAAACATTTTTTGAATTACATGCCAACTACCGTATTAGTCAATCAAGAAAGAGTTAAGCTTTTTGTTTCAGCTCACTATGGATTAGATGATTGGGCCATGTGGACGCCTTCATTTTATCCATGGAAGCATGATCAAATTGATTATGTTATTCAAAATTTCGATTGGAGGAGTTCGTTTGAAAAAACTGTGAGTTAGCGCTTCATTTTTTGTTGAAATGTTTATGAATTTAAGGTACCAAGCTGGAGTTCACAAAATGCGACGATTGAAATCGTGATGATCGAGACGGGATCTGTACGAGTGTTGGGTTTGGAAGGAAAAGATTGTAACGGTTTGGTCTACAGGAAAAGGTCTAATAATTAAGTGGTAAAGAAATAATTAAGTTGTAAAGAATAAAAATAAAAACTTTGAAACCAATCAATCTGATCGTTTAGTTTTATCAAGCCAGTCAAGTTCTCGCTGAAGACTGCTTGCGTTGAAGTTGGTGTTTTATTGTTGTAAAGTTAAATGAAATTCAGCTCGTCTGGCGGCCCGAACTGAATGGGCAACCGGTTGAAAATGTGGGACTGTTTGTGACGATAAAACAAGAAAATTGAGTTATCTGTTCAAAATTCAATAAAACTTTTCTCATGTTGCCTTTTCATAATTGACACTGAAGATTGCTTTCTGTAAACAAACATTCAAAATGGAATTTGAGCTTTGAGCTTTGAGATTCCTCAAAAAAGCTTTGAGATTCCTTGGAAAAATAATGGTAACTTTATTGTTTTGTTTCTTGACTTAAAAACATAACAAGCAACTCATTTTCAATTCAAATTCAAGCTTGATTTGTACCGGTAAAGTTGATGGAGTTTTTGGCATTTCATTACAATTAAATATGGTTATAAACTAAATAACCGGGCTTTTTGAGATGAAAATTTATTCAAAAAAGGCAAAAAGCAAGTTCTAATCCAAAAGTTATTCGCCATTTCTATCAAAGACTTCTTCCCATCTTCGGCGCAAATCCCGGATTCCATCTTCAAAAAACTGAGAAGTCTTGGATGAAAAGCAAGTATTGAGAGCTTTTATGACTTGAGCCTAATCATCAAACTTTTCTCCCTCCAAGAAGTGCTTCAATGACCACAAGTGGTTAAGTGAGATCAGTAAGGCGCGTGGGGCAAAACTTTCCAACCGAGCTCGTCGAGTTTTCGGTGAATGACTTTTGCAGTGTGGGGTTTAGCGTTGTCTCACAAAAATCGAACCCTTTCCGGTTTGAGCCTCAATTTCTTCGAGGCTTCGTTGACTCTCATCAGTTGCTTGGAGTATAGATCGGCATTGACAGTTTCTCCAGGTTTTAGCAACCTATAGTACACAAATCCTTTTGAATTCCACCAAAAGCATAGCACGATCTTTTTCTCGTGAATGTCGGGTTTGGGAGTGGTTTGCGGGGTTTGTCCTACAGGTAATCATTGGTTTTTTGTTTGATATTTCCATAGGAAATCCATGTTTCATCGGAAGTTAAGATTCTGGCGAAAATCGTGTGCTTTAGACTTTTAAAGCATGATCGAGCAGACATTAAGTCATTAAGTTGTCGCCGGTCAACGCGTAAGGTATCCACTTTCCAGAACGATTCTTTTTTTTTCTTGTTTCAAAACAGTGAAACCATAATATAACATTGAGTCTCACTAATACTTCCGTTTCCAAAAGCTTTCGATATATGACAAGGAGAATCGGTCGGTCTTTTTCCCTTGTTTAAAATCGTAGAGTGCTTTACTCGTAGAGCTCTAATAATGACTTTTTGATTGTCCATTTTACGGATGCAGAAGCAGAAAGCAGCCAGTTTTCATAAAAAAGATGCTTATGTGTAAACGTGTAGTTTATAGTCTATAGTTTATAGTCTATAGTTTTCCTTACGTCGGAAAATTGGGGCTTTTCTTATTGGCTCTTTTGAAAGGAGCACAAATGCAAAAGTCCAGTTATTTAGTTTATAACCTAATAGTTAAAAACTAGTATGCACTTCAAAGACTTTTTGTTCATATTTGATTGCAAAACATTGTCCCTTATCAGAAAGGAAACCCTTCTGAAAGCCTTTTTCACGGGGTTTCGAAATTCTTGGTTCTAAAGCGAAAAAAATAGCAACCCTAAATTCAAGCATGATCAAAATTAGAGCAATGTTTTTCACACTTGGAGCAATTATCCTTTTCACCCAGTCAATTATTGCCGTTGACATTTCGTTGACTTCAAAAAGTCCATCCTATGCCGTACACGGTCGTCGATTACTGGAGTTTAAGGTAAGATATGACTTTAACTCTGTAATTGCTTGATTGTTCAGAAGATAACAATTTCGATTGACGATAATAATGTTGCAAATCGGGAAATCCTCATTGATTACACTCAAGTTGGGTGCAAAAACACGAGAAATTCAAGTCTAGTAGGGAAAAATCAAGGTGACGTTGTAATGAATTGTTTACAGGAAAATCATAAGATTTCTATTGATGTCTATAAAACTTGCTTGGACGAGTTTCCATTTACTGTTAATGGAGAAATATTGGATTCAAAAAATGGAGAAGTTATGTAGGTGACCTTTTTAAAGATGGGCAATTATCCTTTTTCAAAATGAATCGATTGATTTCAGGCCGTACAACGAAGACATGCAAGAACTTCTCTATTCTACCACATTCACCTATAAAACTAGCAATTCAATGTCACTTCTTGTCAATTACACCGCTGATGTTTACCCTTTAGATTTTGGTCTTTCATTTCGAGTAAAGAATTGGGTTAACGGTTTTGACGAGCAATTAAACATAAATGGGAAAAATTATAGCAACAAAAAAGATCTGGGTTCTACCGGCAGTTAACGAGACGAAACGACAAAATTTCGTCTTAGTGAAATTGGATGTCATTGTGACAGCCGTCATTTATCCCCCTTACAATTTGTAAGTCATCCGGTTTTTCTTTTGTTTTTGGTCATTTTTATACATCATTTCGTTAATATTGACGCAGTCATAAGATATTCATAGTCATGAGATATTGTGAACTAAGTCTTGACCCTTTCTTAAATTGCTGATTTCTCAGCGTAGAATCAGTATGTTTAAATAAAATTTTAAACGGATTACTCTCAAAAGCTTATAAGCTTAATGCCGAAATCATAAAGTTATTCGGCGATTAGCGACCAAGTTCTGTTCCAGTTCTGGAAACATTCATTGATAAAAAAACTGACCTGAATTTCTAACTAAATATTTTTGAGTTAACCTATTTTTTTTCGTTGGACGTTGGGACCAAAAATAGTGTTTGTTATATCGAAGTTCGTTATACTAAAGTTTGACTTTATAACAATTATGTGCTAATGATTCGTACTCATTTTTAGACCTACGTTGGAACTGAATTTGGTGCTACAGCCCAACGACAAAGAAATGGATGAAAAAAGCCCATGTCAGCATTTTAAAGTGAGATTTTTGCCGACAAAATTTAAGTCCACTAGTCAAGAAATGGAAAAAAAATAGCATCATTTGTGATAGTTAACATGATCCACATGTTAAAAAGCCGCTAACTGGCACTTTTAGGTTGACGTTACTTGCCCGAAAGGGTCATTGTATTCGGTTTTCTTTGGCTCAGATCCTGGTTTAAATCCGGATCCAAGATATCACATTGGTGATTACAAGTAAGTGTTTCATTGCCGGTAAATAGAAAAATGACTTTCAGAAGCAATATTTCGATTGTGACCAAAACGACGGCGACCAGCGTTCAGGCGGCAAGCAGTTGCTTGTTTTGTTTGACTTATCAGGCTAATAAAGGCGTTGCTTCAGGTTTTTTTTAAAATTCAAGGTTCTCCTTGAAAGTCAAAGGAGAACTCCATGAATTTCGCGTTTTTTTTCTAAATAATATATCTAGCGGGCGATGTTCAATTTTTGGACAATTTTGCTCTTTTCTCGTCTCCTTTCTATCCTTGGATACACGATGAACCATATCAAAGTGGAAATCACTCATATGACTATGGGATGACTACTTTCAAAGAAGTACCGCTATATTCTAATAGAAGAGCCCCCATAGGAGCGTCCGGTAGTCTAAGTTTACCCTCAAACAGTGGCAAAAAAAGTCGATTTTCATCATTTTTTAATCATTTTGTTCTAAGCCCTGGCTAATGCTAAAAGTATATGTTATATTGCAAAAAATCACCCTGCAAAACCTTCTGCGAAATAAATTTGTCTTCATTGCAAAGTAGATAAAATATTTGATGGATTGACGAAGAGATATAAATTGTAGAATCGTGAGCATATCGTACTAATTTCTGTGAAATCAATTGAGGGAATTAAACTTGAAATCGGAGCACTTGGAAACGATAAGCAAGTATGCACAAGAAACCACGGGCAATGGCATTAGTGGGTCTTTGAACAAGCAAAACTAGTTTACTTGTGTGCCCGTTTTTGAAGCATACACATTCATAATTTCAGCTTTGATGCGGTGCCTACGTTTGAAATCAAAACATTGATTAGTTGCCTAATAGTGGGTTTCAATCTATGGTGCTATTAATCACGACATTCCAGATTGGAGAGTATTGGGCAAAGACTGAGCCACCCCATGGCTTTGTCTTCTCGATTCAAGAGAATGATGAGGTTTTTCCTGCAGACAATGCTAACTGTTTAGTCACATATGAATTGACCATCGATGAACCACATATGATTTTTCGAGATATCGTCATTCATGAAAACCAGCCGCTTTGCATTCACAGGGAATGCGATGATCGAAATTGTGAAATCTTTGTCGACCTGGCGTTCCAATGTCCACAAGAAGTGCTGTGATTAATTATGATTTGATCATTTGATGTTCCACTATGCATCAATCTATAATGCAACTCTACATTAGCCAAAACCAAGAATTTTTAATTTAGGAAGCTGATTGTTCAACCACAATCCCTCTCGAACTTTTTCAAGTCGATCGAAATGTGAAGGAATGGGAAGAGTGTGAAGAATGGTAATGTAAAAATACAATTAAAGTTCTTTTGTATGAAAACATTCAATTGAAATTAAGGCCATCGAAGATTGACAAGACAACTTTATTCACTTGCCATCTCGTTGTCGATGAGCTTGCGTTCTTTGCTGAATTCAATCATCCAAAAACCTGGGCGTATTCCGCAATAGTGCGAAGAAATGGTAGATGCTAATATAATTTTACGCGTCATCAACAATTAATTGAAAGTATTCGGATGGTTTTAGCTGATTTAAACATCTATGTGTTTCCAACTTACAACAATTTGGGAAGCCGTCCTTATTATGAATCGACACTGGGATATGAAGTCAAATCACGAGCCACACCAACGTGGATTACTTTTTCTTTATTAAACTACAACGCATACGGCTTATTAGAGAAATTTCGCTGGGTATATCTTTTCGAATTCGCTTGATCTTGGATTTAGAGTCATGCTACAAAAGAGTGTTTTTACGAGTTTTGGAGTGGTCCACCACGTACAAATAGGACTCCCTTGGACAGGCATCTTGCGACATTCAGGTGCTCGGATAAGAGTTTAAATCGAGGTGTTTTAAAAATTCGATCCTCAATAACTATTCAATTTGTATACTTGAGCAATCAAATTGCAGCGACGCGGATCGTTTTGAGCCACAGTTTTTGGATTCGAGTTGCTACAGTGTTTTGGTTCCAGCTGGATGCTCACCGACTATCTATTTAAAAACTCTTCCTCATATAACTACCGGTATCTTTATTCCGAAGTTTGAAAAAAAAAGCGTTAATAGCTACCGTCTTTAATCGTACAAAACTCCTATGTGATGGCAGAATCTTCCTCACTTCAATGGGCTATGGAAATCCGTCCGAGGGACTATTTTTTCCGTACTACTGGCAAAAGCAATACACTTTTTCGCATCATATCTTTTGCGGCTTGTTTATTGTATTAATATTTTCACGCATTAGCTTTTAGATGGCAAAATTAATATCGAAATTGAAGTCTTTAAAATCGGTTCCGGGAATTTAACCCTCGAAATTCTTGATACAATTCATGGAAGCAAGGATACACCGTAAGGAAATAGTTTTTTTTCTAGCGTTTATGTTCATTTAGGATAGTTCTTCTACCTGGGACAAAGATACCGGCTAATTTTACGATTGCAAACAAAACAGGATTGAATGTATTGTAGTTTCTAAAATTGAATGTATTGTAGTTTCTGAAAACTCAAATCAATAAGTTTAAAGGGATTAAATCAACTTTAGATTAAATCAATAAAACCTATTATTTTAGCCCTATTTTACTCTAGTTAAATACTTTACAAAACCCCCATTTAAGGTCTTTTGGAATGCATTGGATGAGGGCGAGAAAGATCCAGAAGGTTGTTTTCTTCGTCTCCATTTTGCCCACATACCCAAACAATACCCAGCTCCCGAAGTTGTTAAGAGAAAAGAATCAATTCTTCAATATTCTGAACTTTTTATTATTTGTTTTTTGTACGAAATGATCGCTTGAATCTAGCCAGAACACGTTTATCAATAAAGTTTTCTACAAAAGTGATACACTTGATATGCTGAAACAGTAACACACTGAAACCTTTTTTTTGATCTGTTTTCGCACTCAGGTGTTCCTATTTGCGCAGATCACAACCTGCTTCCACATTTCTCTATCCCTTGCTATTGTCATCCAGTGTTTCCTAGCTTGATTGTTCCTGGTTCGAAATCTTCGACTTGCTGGTGCTGGTGGTCTAGCCATCCTTTCTCTGACCGTCTCTGCCACTCTTGTGCTCCACCTCGTTGCTGGTCTTCCGATGGGCCTCTTCTGGTATCGTGGTAGCCACTCTGTGATCCGTATCGTCCATCTGTCGTCTGTTCTTCTGGCTACGTGGCCGGCGCATCTGAGTCTTTTGCTGAATAACTTTGTGTGTGATTTGAATAACTTTGTGTGTGATTTGAATAACTTTGTGTGTGATTTGAATAACTTTGTGTGTGAAAAATCTTATTAACAAAATCAAAAGGTTTCAGTCAGTTAGTCTGACACTACTGACTGAAACCTTTTTATTTTGTTAATAAGATTTTTCACACACAAAGTTATTCAAAGCAAACTTTGCGATTGCCAAAGTTTGATATGAAAGCTGATACATTGAAGTGTGTTTGAGCCAAAAAGTCTTTCTTGAGACAAAAAGGAAAATAGGCGTCTCTTTCAAAGCAAAATGAGTCATTGAGTCCTTTGTTTCTCTTGTGACAAATCGAATCTTTGATATCACCGTAAATAACGCGAGTGACTTTAAAGCAACAATAAGCAAAATCAAATCAAATCAAATAATGTTTTATTTTACCCTATTTTTCTTTTTTCTTCTTAAACTTCTCTCCCAAACTACTGCACGAACTGGAATTGCCAAATTAGACGAGCAAACACCGTCCTTTGCCATTCATGGATCAAGACTCAACATCTTTACGGTTTCTTTATTAGGAAAAGAAATTTAATAGTCAGAGTTAATAATTGTTGTGAGATATATAGCTTTTTAAGAATAGCTTTTGCTGTTCTTAAAAAGGCTTTAAGCCTTTATTTAGACATACACAATTATTGGCGTGCCAGGTGTTGACTGGTTGATTGACTACACACAAGATGGCTGTAAAACAACGAAAAATGTTTGTCAAATTTATTGATTAGCAATAACTCTTTCAGGATCACCCTAGAGAGCCGAATACACCAAAAATTCGTTGTTTTGATCAAATCCCATTTGAGATTTCTGGAAAATCACCCGAGAAACAAGAACAAGAAAAAATCACGTAAAGACCAATCAACTACAAAAAGCCTAAAATTTACAGGCCATACAGCGAAAATTTGAGAATTTTCTACTCTTCAACATTCAAGCTTGCGAATCTGAGCCAACTAGTGATCAAACCAACCTCAAACATGAATAAATGGGCTGTCTCGTTTCGTGTTCGACAATGGGTTACAGGTCGAGATTTTGGCTGACTGACAAATAGAAATCAAGCAAGAGTAATCAATCACTGACTCTTTTAGAAACGATGGAGGTGCTTGTGTTGCCCGCTTCCGACTTTGAAGTTGAGCATTTTTTTGTGCTCGTCGACAAAAACGTCCTCGCAACAATTGTGGTTAACGAGACAAATATTGCAAAGTGCGTTTTCAACTATAAGAAAATCCAGTAAAGCGATTTGAGAACTGAGATAGTCAAAGCAACGGGTCGACAGGTCGACAAGCAACACCATTCAACCACTCGCACAACTGTTAAGATAGTAGCATCATTCAATTTTCAAATGAGTATATGTCGTAGCCGATTATGAATGAGTGGGTCTAGGAGCGTCCAACCATCAAGTATTTAGTATCATTCAACGCAGAATCATTGATAATTATGTTAAATTTTTGAAATTAGAAAGACTGGATAAAAAGAATACAAATTATGGGGCTTCAAAGTTTTCTCTTGAAACAACAGTTTTTTGCTCTAATTTTTTTTTCTTTTCATCAAATCTTGCTAATTTCAAAAATTTAACATAATTATCAATGATTTTGCGTTGAATGATACTAAATACTTGATGGTTGGACGCTCCTAGACCCACTCATTCATAATCGGCTACGGGGGTCCCGCCGATTTTGAATGAAACGTTGTAGCGCCGGCAATTTTTAACCTAAACGCCCAAATTTGGTACCAATCGACGCAGAATTCAATTCGCTACAAGATGATATGATATTGTCCTCATACATTAAAGGGTTGCTCTACTAGAAAGATTTGCCAAAAAATTTCATTCATAATCGGCTACGACATATACATGTAAATATTTTAGTGATGGGCCAACCCTCGAGATAAAAGCATTCAATTTGGTTGATGTCGGTTTGGTGGCTTTTTCATGTCAATACACTTTGGTATCTTTGAAACTCACAAAAATTTATATTATCACTTTAGCCAGAAAATGTTTGTTCAAAAGAAGTCACTTATTCGTACTATTTTGGAACTGACCCAGGACTTGCGAAAAACGAAAGATATCATATTATGGAAGCTACGTAATATCTTCAGCATTGTACAAAATGAAGCCAGTTGGGAAACTAAATATTGAGCTGGTGGAAAAGTCCTTTCCGATTTTTTGGGAGAGTACCTTAAATTTGTCCAATTTTGACGTTTTATAGCTGATCCTAAAGCTGAATTGAAGACGGATCGATTGGTAAAAACCGTTTTGAGATATCTCTTTTCTAAAAGTTTTTACAGCTATTTTGGTAAAGGGCGGCAGAGCCAAAAAATGGCTGTTTTCACGTTTCGTTAGTTTTCCGTGCAGAAACCTAGGCTAAAAACATGTGTTTCTTGATCAGCGTCAAAAATAACCCCTAGACACAAATTTTCAGAATCTTAGCAAAAAATTTTTGAAAAATATTGTCACCGGTGGAAGTCGAACCAGCGACCCTCAGATCAATAGCCTTCTCGCCGCTTTTCGCGATTTTCCTTCGTTTTTCTCGTTTCTTCGTTTCTTCGTTCTTGCACTATCGAGAAGTGAGAAATTTCCTTCAAGAAATCGTCAACTTGACACGGCATTCCTGAAAGCCTTCCAACAACGATTTCGTGACCGAACGAACTATCCGGAATTATCCGGAAAAACGAGAAAAACGAAGGATCTCCCAAAAAATCGGAAAGGACTTTTCCACCAGCCCAATATATCATCACAGCGTGCTGTAATTGAGAACAATAACCATTAGACTATATGAGTTGTGCTTTAATATTAAAAAAAAAATTTCAACTTCCCAATGATTTGCTTAGAGTTGATGGCTCGCCGATTACCACACGAACCCGTGCCACGAGCGTATTTACAAACGAAGAATGTGCATTTTGTCTTCGCTATCAACCGAATCAGCGTAAATATTTGTATTCCTTAAGTGATAAGTAAGTAATATGATTGACTTTTAATATCGTTAGAGAGCATGTGAAAACTCTTAGAAGTTTTTCAGAGAATCAATCTATTCTTGTAGAGATCTATTCTTGTCAAACCGACACTATTGTATTAGGTTGTAAACTAAGTCTTGACCCCAAATTCAAAACAATATTTATTGACAACCGAAAGAGCAGTTTAATCGAAATAGTCTCCATTATTCGCGATGACTTTTGCCCATTTTACTGGCAATCGGCGGATTCCCCTTTCATAGAAAATTTTTGGTTTTGAGTCAAAATAGTCTTGGAGCCACTTTTTGAGGTCTTCTTCATTTTGGAAAAGCCCTCCATTCAGGGTGTGTTGCATCGATCGGAAAAGATGGTAATCTGTAGGACTGAGGTCAGGAAAATATGGTTGGGGGGGTAAGAGTTCCCAGTTCAACTCGTTGATTGTGGAGCGGGTCAACCTGTGAACCGGCGTTGTCGTGCTGGCGCATGACCTTTTTCAAATTGGGGTGCTTTTCCATAATTTTCTCATCGAGTTTTTTGAGCTGATCGCTGCATAATTGAGCATTGATTGTCTGCTTATTATCGAGAAGCTCCCAATAAATGACACCTAAGAGGTCCCACTAAACCCATAGCATGTCTGGTGGGGGTCTGGGGGCACATTCTTTGCTGGTGTAACTCCAGGTCCCACCCATTGTCGTTTTCTCTGAAAGTTTACAGTCATAATCCACTTCTCATCTCCCCGTCACTACATGCGGCAAGAAATATTTCCTTTCGAATCTGGAAAGAAGGGCACCTCTGCCCTTTCATGAGAGAGGTTGCAGGGTACCCATTGACCGTAAATCGGTTTAAAACCCATGGTAAGGAGGTCTCCCAAGGAGAGTTCAACCTCACCGCTTCACGCAGATCCGGGTTTCCGAATTTTGAGTATCTGCATTTTCAGCTCTCTGGGTTTCTCGTCCGAGAGAGAGAGAGAGGTGTCCCCATTTCTGAATTTGTGGCAGCGTTTTATTGGACTTTCGGGTGTCCTCTACGTCTTGTGTTTGCCAGGCACGGTCGGCCCTTTCGTCATTCCTGTCGGTGTCGGTTGGTGTTTGGGTGGTTTGTAAATATCAATTTAATAGGCTACTTTCTGGATTGTGTTTTTGAATAAAGAACTGATAATTCAATATTTTGAAGAAAAACAGGGAATGCCCTCCGTAAACTTAAACAAAATTTCAAAACTTTGCGGAGAGAGTCAAGACTTCCAACCTAATAATTTTGTAAAGGGCATTTCTATACTAAATACTTTTGTCATTATTTCTTTTTAAATTTCAATTATTATTTGACATAACCTACAAGCTTTTAATTCTTGATTGTGTTTAAAAAACCTATGAATCATAAATGGTGTTTTCAGTTTATATGTACCAAGAAGAAGTGGCGGTCTGGACTCCATACTACTTTCCCTGGTTTCCAGATAATGATGCTCAAGACAGGCTTTCCTGTTACTTTTACCAAGACCAATTTCAGACGGTTAAACAGTCTTTTAAATCGATATGAAACCCTTCATAGAGCGGGCAAGAGGTGCAGGCAACGTTCGAGGTGAAACTAATTGATGGTGGTGCAATTGATTTCAAAGCTTACCCTGCGCCAATTTGCAATTACAATGGTCAGGAATCTTTCACTAAAACGTTGAGTTTTTTTTCGTTTACGAAACAAAAAAGAAGACATTTTGAGGTTTCTCCCCGAAATGTCCGGAACCAAATTTGAGTTCATTGCGGTTTGCTATAAGGTTTCTTTACATAAATGCAACATTGAATTTTTTTTAGATCTTTTGGTGTCCTGACTATGACCAAGAGCCAGCTCCAGGCAATGGATATGTGGTGTTTCTGAAAGTTAACTCCAATAAAACTTTAGACAGTGGCTAAATTTTTACCACTACAGTACCCCTTGCTTACTAAAAGCACCACTTTTTATTTTTAATGATTTTACGTTGATTAATAAAATTTTGCATCATCTTACTCAAAATCCACAAAAGTTCACATAGAAGTTCTGCGGTTTTTTTTACATTGGAAACCACCTTTGTTTGGTTCTCGGGGAAGATTAAAAGGGACGGTACTTAGGGGTGACACACTCTTTTCAATATACTCAAAGTTTTGAAATTGAATGTATCTAAAGTTATTTTTTGTTTGTTTTTGCTCTACAAAATCTCAAATAAGAGAAATTGTTCTTGAAGAGACTGTTCCCTCATATGCAATTCATACCTTCAGATTGGCTCAATTCAAGGTACTATTAGATTTGCTAAATAGAATAACTGAAAAAGAAATCTCGTAAATGTTGTACTATTAGGTTGTTCGGATATAAGCGAGCGTTTTAGTAGTCGACAAAATTTACCTTAAAAACAGAAACAACACAGTTTAATCCAAAGTATATTCACCATTATTATTGATTGCTTCTTGCCATCTTTTGCGCAAAGAATTGATGCCGCTCTTGAAAAACTCAGCCGGCTGTGACTCGAAAAACTTGGCGACCCAATTTTGGACATCTTCACGGTTTTTGAATTTCTCATTGGCCAAAAAGTTTTGAATCGACCGGAATCAATGGTAATCTGAGGGAGCCAAATCGGGAGCATACGGCGAATGTGGTAAAACCTCCCATTCTAGATTCTCCAGTTTTTGCTGAGTCATCTTGGAAACGTGAGGTCTAGCGTTGTCATGGATGAACTTTATCTTTGATGTGGGTACTCCTTGACGAATGAGAACCTCATTGACCCGATCCAGTTGCTGTTTGTAGAGGTCGGATGTGACTGTTTGGCCGGGTTGTAGAAGCTCAAAATAAACAAGACCCTTGTTATTCCACCATACTGAGAGCATGATCTTTTTCCCATGAATGTCCGGTTTCACGGTCGGATTTGGCCGTTCTCCTGGTCCTAGCCATTGCCGTTTCGAATAGTATTATCGATCCACTTCTCATCTCCAGTAACGAGAGAATCAAAAAAGCCATGATATTTAGCCTGGCGGATGAAGATTCCGGCAATAGTGACCCGTGAAGCCTTGTTTGCACTGCTTAACGCGTGAGGAAGCCATTTCCCGCATCTGATCGTCTTTCCAATGGCGTGGTGATGCTCATCAATGGTAGAATTTGAACATGGAAACTGTTGAGCAAGTTCACGTGTCGTTTGACAAGGATCCGGTTCGATTGCAGCCCTCAAAATATCGTTGTCTACCCCTTGAGGTCGACGAGAGTGTTCATCATCCTCGAGACTTTCATCACCATTCCGAAAGCATTAGAACCAGGCTCGGCATCGGCTTTCGGACAATACATCATTCCCAAATGCTTGAACCAAATCTCGATGGGATTCCGCGACTTTTTTTGCCCAGTTTGAAGTGGTAAAGTAAGCAGACACGAACTTGATCATCTAAAGTCATCTAAAGCAAGAAAAAAGATCTTAAAAATAAGAAATTATCCGTTTAAAAAGTTTCCAAATATGCGCAAGATAACGTACTTTTAAATACAGAAAGATATGTTTTAAAAGCTTCTCTCACAACAAAAAGTTTAGCAACGCTTGTTTATATCCGAACAACCTAATACAGTCATGTAGAATGACATGTCATTCTTTCTTCAACCCCTCAAAATCGACCAATCCAAAAAATAGGTAAGCGGACCACATGAATCAAAAATTTAGAATTCGTTAAAAACTATTTTAAACGATGGCCCAAAATAGTTTTAACCAAAACGTACAAAAACAAGTTTAAAAGTCAAATTCTTATCTTACCCGCAACCCCCGTTGGATCTGCAAAAAAAATCCATAGAGGGGACCCTTATGAATTTTTTTCAAAAATAGTGTTTTAAATTTTACTGCCAATAAAATTTTATTAGGTTTTAGGTTCAGGTCTATCCATAGAACCCCCACAACGGGGTAAAATCAAGATTTCGAGGGGTGTCATTCTACTACAGCGTTTACCTTGAATAAAAAAGATATATTCTGAATTATCATTTAAAAAGTGGAGCAATTTTGAGCAGCAAAATATAAACCTTTTCAGAGCATCACAATTAGTGCATTTGATGGGGCTGACTTTGACATTGATTACGCTCAGAACGGATGCAACGCTGTACATTTGGTAAGCTTTCACTTTATGAACTCTCAATCTTTTTGCAGAGTGAACCGGATCGGTCAAATGTTGAGCAGATCAATGCTCCTTGTTGGGATCCATTACCTTTCAGCATCGAAGGAAGAACTTTGACGGCCGAGTCCGGTGAAGTGATGTATGTGATAGACTGGCGCACTCACAGTTTACTAAATTCTCAACAACCCATTTCAACTAAAAAAGCAAATCTGCTACCGTAATACCTGTAATAGTAGCTCCGGCGCTACTATTAGAGAGGGTGCTACTAAATTTTCTTCCTAAAAATTTTTAAACAACCCAACCTGGAAGCTTTCAAGATAATTCAACAGATTTTTTTCAGCTTTGAATTTAATTTATTTATCTTTAACAAAAATAACAGTAAAATCAAACATAAAAACATACGAATTATCAAAGCAAATTGATACATCCGAATCAACAAATTCGTAATTTTCTTCTTCCTGATCGTTAACTTCTCGGAATTCCCAAAGTCTTTTTAATTAAAGCGCCACCAGAGGACCATTAATTTCTTTCTCCATTCGAGCGTCTTTCAGCAGCTTTAGCCCATTTGGAATAGCACCGTCGGCCTTGAAGCGCTGAATCATATTGTCCTCATCACCGTTTGCTGCAATTCCGATGCCGCATCCCTTAAAAGGCTTTTGAAGAGTCCGATCGTGCAGTCAGACAGAAGCGTTCATTTTATCGTAGCTTCTGGTTAGCATACCTACTTCCCGCACACTACAACTGGTGTGCGGGAAGTAGGTGTGCTAATCCGAGGCTATCAACAACAATCAACACACTTGCTCGACAGAATTGACAGAATCAAACACAGAGTCGAGTCAAACAGCCGTTTCGTCATATGCAAATACGTGCTTGAAACTGTTCTCTTCGTTTTCTTGTTCACGTTCAGGAAATGGTTGACAAGAATTTTCTCAAATTCGCTAGGAATCTTTTGACATGTTGTGGTCGCCGCTCTCAATGAGAATTGTTGCCGCTTTAGAAACGACTCCATCCAACCGTGACTTCTTTTGAAGGGAATCTCTGCATCAGCAAATCGATTAACCGCTTCGCTCCAAATCATTCGACGGGTCACTCGCTTTTTTTCGCTCCTTTTTTCAAGAACCCATATGGCCAAAGCTTCATCAATTTCTTTTGAGGTCAAAGCGCGTCCGCCACCATCGAGCCGCTTTCTTTTTGCGTGCATTTTGCTCAGCTCATCTTTTTGCTTGACGTATCGTTGGACACAAGCTCGGTCAATTTTGTAGAACCTGGCAGCAGCATGTACGGAAACTTCGTGGGCCATTTTTGCAGCATCGGGTTTAGTCTTCGCATCTATTGATTTTTTTTCTTTTGCTTTGGCTTGTTCCTCCCCTCGTTTGCTTCTTTTTTCGATTCCACGTGCAATTCTTTGTTCAATTTACGTTGATGTTCTCGTCCTTCTTCAAAGAATCCATTTAGTCCGTGTTCACGTCGATTGCAAAACGCTTCAAAATCATCCCAGCTTTTGTGATCGCACATCAAACCTAAAAAAATTAAAAATTATCTAAGAAAACGAATAAGAAATGCTAGAAAAGCAGTAAAAAAAGGTGAATAATTGAATGAAAATATAGTTGCAAGCTAAAAAACCAAAAGCTGTATATCTTGAGTTTTCTCGTAGACATTAAGATATTCAGTTAAGGGGCGCTACCATTACAGGTATTACCGTATTTTACTAGTACCCAGTTAAACAAAATGTTTTCGAAATGTCATCTTTCTTAGGCTTTACACCCATGCAAATGATTCTTCTGGTGGCGACTTCCAAGGATTTTTCTATATCACTCGCTTTAAAATCATGAACGCTTCTCAATTGGTTGTTAGAGCAGCCAGCAAATCAGGCACCGAATCTGCAATTTCGTTTCAAGTCCGTCAATGGGTCGATGGTCTGTTTCGGGTTCTTCTAACCGCAAGTATTGGGTCGGTGGAAAAGTCCTTTCGGATTTTTTGGGAGAGTACCTTAAATTTGTCCAATTTTGACGTTTTATAGCTCATCCTAAAGCTGAATTGAAGACGGATCGATTGGTAAAAACCGTTTTGAGATATCTCTTTTCTAAAAGTTTTTACAGCTATTTTAGTCAAGGGCGGCAGAGCCAAAAAAATCGCTGTTTTCACGTTTCGTTAGTTTTCCGTGCAGAAACCTAGGCTAAAAACATGTGTTTCGTGATCAGCGTGATCACGAAACATCACGCTGATCACGCTGATCACGAAACACAGCCACTTTTTGGCTCTGCCGCCCTTTACTAAAATAGCTGTAAAAACTTTTAGAAAAGAGATATCTCAAAACAATTTTTACCAATCGATCCGTCTTCAATTCAGCTTTAGGATGAGCTATAAAACGTCAAAATTGGACAAATTTAAGGTACTCTCCCAAAAAATCGGAAAGGACTTTTCCACCGACCCAATACAAAGTAACGTCTAACTATCCGCAAATCCAAGTACAGAATAAAACATGAAATATTAGGTTTACAAATCATTTCCACTCTGCTAAATCGACAAAAATGTTTCAGAAAACAAAAAAACATTTGTCGTACCTGGGCTCAATAACGACACAAACTCTGCACAAGATTCATTTTTTGTTGTCGTCAAAAATAACTATATCGTCACTGTGGTGCCAAGTCCGGAAACTTATCGGTAAATGGGATATTTTAGCTTTAAGGATACATTTTGGTGATAAATTTAGCCTCAACAATGAGGGACCTCTCACAATGATCAAGTTTATACAAACCGATCCTCTTTCGACAAACCCCGAGTGTAAGACCTTTCAGGTAAAAGAAATAAACAAAAAATTAATCCGAATTAACCTAAGTAAATCTTAGAATAGAGTTTAACACACTTTAGACTTAGCAAACTCTAGAAAAGTAGCATACTCTAGAAAGCAAGTAGTGAGAACGAAGCACTAGCTATTTAGTTGTTAGATTAATCCATTAAGAAATTTCAGCAGGAGTTATCATGCCTAAACCATGTTCAAGATAGTTATCCCGTGTACGCTGGAGGAAATCCAGGTCTAAAGAGGAATGCGAGTCATCTAGTAATTACAATTGGGTAAAATATCAAAAAATTTCCTTGAAACTAACCCACCTAAAATCAAATAGTAGCGGCGTTAAAGTGCACGTGCGATCAACAGCAGTGACCGCTTTTTCACAGAATGGTTGTGATTTCTGTTTTCAATTCGATTCACGATTTCCGGGTTAGTTCATGTTACACAAGATCCAGCAATAAAGTCGTAACCTACTAAGAATTGCTTGCAGAGGAGGAATTGCTTGACGTCAATTTGGACACAACTACACTTTGGACGCCATTTTGGTACCCTTGGCTTTTCGATCAGCCGGATTTGATTGCTTATGCCTTGATGAATTCACACCAATATTACAACAAAGCTCCTAAAGTTTTAGCGGTTAGTGAATACTAACGACACAAACACAGCAAAACGAGTTCAGCAAAATGACGAATTATGGTCGTTGTCCGTTGATCGTTGTGATGGTGGAAGACTCCAAGTGAATGGATTTCACCTGACTGGCCAATCGTGTGGAAACACCTATACACCCGCATTTGAGCTCGTTTTTGATAAATTAGCAATTATATTGAATACAGTATAGTATATTTAATCTTCATATGATCGAGTTACCGAAAAGTTATCCATTTAGAGTATGATACATGGCACTGGCTAAGACACTGGCTAAGACATTGGTTAAGACATTGGCTAAGATTACCAAGACAAGATTTTGGAATTTATCACCCGGATCGATGATTTTCAAGCTATTGACGTTAAAGACCTCTGCCCAAGTGACATCAAGCTAGGCTAAATTCACCTACCGTAAATACTGTAATAGTACCCCATCTCATAATGACGGTGCGAAGTGTCGCGTAGTCTAGCTTTGGACGCGTTTTTCTCGACAATGGTTTATGCTACAATGCGCGCTTAGGTATCAAAAAATAGCTGAAATTCAGGGTTATTTTTTCATACCAAAGACACATTTTTGAAACTACGGGTGCTTTGCAAAAAATGAAATACTAAAAACTTTTTCGACTACGCGGCTGTACGAGGGGGTGTACGACTACGCAACTGTACGGTACGTAAATACTATTACAGTATTTACGGTAGGTATTAAACAGTTTAAAAGTCACAGTTGTTTTTTTACAATGCTAACCTTAAACCCAAAACTTTATAGCTTTGGGTTTTTTTCTTTATGATGCAGTTTTTGAATTTTAGTGGAAAAGAAAAGTCAACACAGTCCACTTACTTCTTCGCTGCATGCATCAATGTAATTTAAGTGAAATAGGTAACTTGTAGTGACAACTTAGATTTCTTGGTCTAACGATTTACCACCCGTTGGATATGCTGGATTTACACTTCGTTTGATGTACCACCCATCAAGCCATCCACCAACTCTCTGGACTGACGCTTTGGAATCAACGAGTACAGAAATGTGGACAGTATCAGAATCAGAAGAAACCCCAATTGACTCGTTTACCTTAAAAGCTGTGAGCTTGTCAATGCTCAACTTTTTTTGGATTTTAATAAATCTTTTTTAACTTTCCGATGTGAATATTTTGTTGATGAATGGTCAAAATCCCTATATATGAATCCCAAAAAACAACCAATGAGTCAACCATAAATTTATTACGTATTTACAATAATTTGCTATCATATTGTTAGTATTAGCTATTATGTTATGGCAAAAATAGTTTGTAAGCTCGATTGTTGGTCGTTTGTTGTTGTTGTTGTTGTTGTTGTTGTGTTGTTGTTGTTGTTGTTGTTGTTGTTGTTGTTGTTGTTGTTGTTGTTGATCAGCGTTTTGTTGATCATTTAGGTATATATAAGATGTCATTTTTGTTTCAAATTTTAGCGTTTTCTTCAGAAAATCAAGATGTCTTCTTGGAAAAAGTGGACAATCATGTTTACCTTAACTCAATTTTTTGGTCATTCCAAAGCGTATGGCCTAAGCATTCACTTGACTGAGTCTACTCCATCTTTTGCTTTTCATGGATCGCGGTTGAACGTTTTCGGTGTAAGGAATTAAGCTATTCGACTTACATGATTCAAGGCTCTGCTCTGCCGCTGAAATAAAAGAACCATTTGACGTTTTAGATTCTCTAGAAAGGCGATAAATATTGGGTTGGTCAATTGAAAACTGCGGGACTTTGAACTAAAATTTATTCAACATAAAACCATAAATTCATTCCAAATAATTTCCATTATTATTGACGACTTCTGCCCATTTTGCAGGCAATTTGCGGATTCCTCTTTCGTGGTAGGATTTTGGTTGTGTGTGAGACAAGACAAGAGACTCAAAAATGGAGGACTGGAGATGTCCCAGTTTGAGCACTTTCTTCAAAAGAAACCCATTTTGGTGTCAATAAAAAAGTTGTAGAGAACCAAAAATTAGGCTTATAGCCAAATTTTCAAAAAGATACACTTAGTAGTTTCGCTTAAAATGCAAGTTTTGTGAAAATTCGTAAATTTGGCCCTTCTTGAAAACCAGTTTTTGAATCGTTCTGAGAATTTGGCTATAAGCCTAATTTTTGATTCTCTACAACTTTTCTATTGACACCAAAATGGGTTTCTTTTGAAGAAAGTGCTCAAAATGTCACATATGACAATAGCCCGCAGTTTTCAATTCACCAACCCAATATATGTTTGTTTCCAGCAGATAAATAATAACAAGTAGTTGAGCATACGTCAGATATTTACAGCGTCAGATATCTTCACTTTTAGAACCTCATCATTTACATTGATGAAGCTGTCGATTTAATAATGGACTTCACGAAACTTCCCTGTAACAACAAAGCATGCACAGACCCACCTCAATTTACAGTAAACAACATCACTCTCGAAGTCGACAGTGACGACACCATTGTGTAAGCTGACTTTTTCAACTTTTTTAAGTGAAAACTGTTTGAATTATTATATACAAGTGCAGGTCATTTGCAACAAATAGAAACGACACTTCACCGTATGCTCATTACTGCGTGGCTCGTCTAAAGTTGAAAAGTTTAAAGGAACTTCATATTAGCCGAAATGATCAACGGTGCGATGCTGATAGCCAATATGCTGTTTCGTTTCGAGTAACAAAATGGGTAAACGGTTTGTTCTTTAACATTTTTAAGTAAGAAAAACAAAAAATATAATAGTAGTGAAAATTCGCAAACGAATCAAAGTCTTTTTTGAGTAAAAACAAAGTACAACAACAGCAAAAAGAGTCAGCAAGAATACCTGCATAAGCACCGTAATCTATTTTCAGAATCAGTCAATGTGCTTTTACTACCCGATGTCGTCAGGAGTACACTTAATTTGCGGGATGCGGATAATGATGCCAATTACTATTACTTTTTGATCGAGGAAAATACAATTGCCGTCGTCGTCCCAGATGAATTTCATTATGAGTCTGTTTGGAAACATTCAAGCAAACAAACAAATTTGTATTTAGCGATGGTCCATTTTCTCTTATAAGACCAATCAGTCGCGATTCTCTCTATTCGGCCGAATTCAACGATTGCCCACTTTGTCGAGTATGTTTTGCTTCGAAGCACAAAGTGCTAGAGTTATTTTCATTCTTGGAAACTTTTAAAACCATTTTACAATTCTATTTTTTACACTTTACAAAATGAATCCTTATGGTTAACGCATTTAGAACAATATTACTTGTCCAGCTTATACAATTTACCAAAGCTATGCTGGTGGTGATCCAGGAAAAGCAATGCTGCCAAGACATCATCTTGGTGATGGAAAGTAAGTTTTATTGAAAATAGTGTCTTTGGAGGGTTTAGGTTAATAGTTGTAGCAATATTAGGCTTCTTTTGATTGATTTGGTTGAATACATTTGGAATTCTAAGAATTATCAGGTTGCAACAAATATCCCTTTCAGTAAAAACAAAAATTTATTAACAAGATGAACAATTCAACATCAATCCAAAAGGTATCCCGTCCTTATTCTCCCCTTTTGACGGCACTGGTTCCTCCTTGAAATTCTTCTGTTGTCGTCAAAGAACTCTGCCTGAAATTCGGACTTCGTCAAGTCATTGACTTTTCTCGGCTAGAGTGTTCATCGATCGAAGATGGTATCACTGGCCCCATATCCGGCTTATGGCGCATGAGGAAGAACATTCCAGCCCCTCCTCGATTTCCCATTGTAAGTTTTGCAGTGTGTGGTTTTCGTTTCATGGGAAATGAATTGAGGGGTTCGGTCCTTGAGCGATTCTTATCTCAGATGTATTGGACAAATATTCTGAATTCCGTTTGCCGGCTTTTGGACCTCGAAATGCACCCCCACGAGAACTCCACCACACACAGAGGAGGTTTTCTTTGAGTGTTCCCTTCGGGCTGGTTTTGGGTCTTCGTTTGTGCTAAGCCACTTCGTTTTCGCGTTCGATTATCATAGATCCATTTTCATCAAGTGACAATGGAATCCAAGGCTCCCTTTTTCGCGTTTTGTGTATTCCAGCTGTATACACGGTAGCCTTATTTTCTTCGCTCAATTCATGCGGAATCCCTTTCCACTGCGGTTCTTTTCCCCAATGATGGTCGCTTTCGTTGCGTTGCGGCCCATCGATCCCCTGCTCGCGTGATGTTTGCTTGGTCCTCCTTTAAGCTGCTTCAATATCGTTCTGCAGAATTCGGGTCGCCCTTGGCGGCCATCTTCAGACTTTCTCCCCTTCCTTGACCGTCGTACCATCTCTTCATTGTGTTTCGGAAGAGCTCATCCCAAAACTCGCAATAATCTCTGTGGGTTCGGCCTTTTCTTGTTTTGTCGTACCAGGACGCCGCATTCGATATTTGAGTCTTCCATTTCTAACAATTATTTGGTATCTCAAGGAGTCGTATAGTATGCACCAGTTCGTATATTCAATTACAACAGCGAGGGTAGATTAACGCAGATTAAGATTTTTCAGGGCGAGGGCCATTATTTAGTTGCCAACCTAATAGATACCCAATTATAACTACCGTAAATACTGTAATAGTACCCCACCTCCATAATGACGGTGCGAAGTGTTGCGTAGTCTAGCTTTGAACGAGTTTTTCTTGACACTGGTTTATGCAATAATGCGCGCTCAGGTATCAAAAAATAGCTGAAATTCAGGGCTATTTTTTGATACCAAAGACGCATTTTTTGAAAGTACGGGTGCTTTGCAAAAAAATGAAATACTAAAAAACTTTTGCGACTACGCGGCTGTACGAGGGGGGTGGGGTACTATTACAGTATTTACGGTAGAGTTTAGTGATCAAGAGCTTCGACTTTATTCAAGATCGTCAGCTACCAGTATTTTCCCTTATGATCATTGTCGATTTTGCCTTGCTTACAATTTTCATCCAGGAAGTAAGTTAAGAGTTGCTTTGTGAATTGCATTGAAAAGGAAAGAAAATTTTTGACTTTCCGTAACTGAGATATAGAGGACAAAATGTATTTGGATCGTTTCAATTTATTGGTGCCTCCGTTTTATCCATGGATCTTCGATGAATTCTATCAACCTAGCTACGAAAGCACGTGTTGGACAAGGCCTATCAAGATAAAGTCTTACGTGAGAAATTATATTATATTATATTAACTCCCGGAATATAGTTTAGAAGGATCAGCGAAAAGTACATGATCCTCAATTTTTCGCCGATTTAAAACGACTTAGTGGTGGAAGTGTCGAAATGAACACATATGTTTCTGATCAAAATAAAGCCTGCACGCAAACTTTATACTCCAGCAACAAATTGTTTGTTTTGGATGAATATTAATGATATGACAAATCTTGTGTTGCAAAAATTAAAGCCATTAATATGTAAGAGCTTTCATATAAATACCATTTTCGTCTAGCGGCTGCGGAGTTCTAAAAAGTGAGCCGTGGCCTCGTGGTTAGTGTGATACGCGTTACGCGTTACGCGTTTCTATACGCTTTCTATACGCTTTAAAATCTTCAATCCTATGAACTTTAAAATCTTCAATCCGCTTTTAAATAATCCCAATTTTAGCAGCAACACTCCACCCAACAAAACAATCAATTTTACGGGAGCTTGTGTTACGGTATTTTTGCTGTTTGCCTCCTTTGGGAAAGTCGATCCTTCAGGTCACATGGTGTGCCAACCGCACAAAAGATAACGAATCCGGTTTTCTTTTGAAAATCGTCGAAGATTCAAGTGAATTTACTGAACAAATTTTGTTGGACGAAGAAACCCCATCATTTGCCATTCACGGAAATCGGCTCAAGGATTTTGATGTTTCTGAGTTATTCTAGAGATAACTAAGTGCTTCTTTAGACGTTCGTAATCAAGGCGGCGCCAAACTCCACGTTTCTCATTGATGCTTCACAACAAGGATGTGAGCCTAACAACGAGACTTTATTAAATAAAGGAAAGGTAACAAGCTGTTTATTAAAATTTCTAGTTCAATCATTCTGTATTTTTGCAGCTAAACGATGTCCAAATCAAATGTAATGTTTCTTCTCTTTTTTTAATCAATGGTCAAAGTCTTGAACCGAGCAAAAAGAACAACGTGTAAATATTCTGAAATCTTGTCAAATCATTGTAAACACCTGACAAGTAAATTCAGAAGTTATGCTTCATATTCTAATGATGGGGATGAAAAAACCCACGTCCTAAGCGGAACCTATTATACATCGGGATACGAAATCATCGGCGATCAAATAATCTTAACACCGGCATTGAATCCGTTTACTTACGAGTTTGCTATTTCGGTTAGGATCAAAGAATGGGTTAATGGTGTGTTTATATACAAACAGGAACTTTTAAAAACTCATTTTAAGCCTCAAAGCAAATACTTGTACTCCCGGGACTATTTGCAAGAAAAGACGCAAAAGATGCATATTCAAACAAAGAGACATTCTACGTTCAAGTGCCTGAAGATACGGTTGCAACAGTGGTTATCAATCCTGATACATATATGTAAGAGTCTTTTCTTTTGTAAGAGTTTTGCCCAATATATTTAAGTATCTAGCTAATGTGGCAAACTCAATTACAAAAGCTAAATTACATTTAAATTGAAAAAGACTAAAGTATCGTTTTGTGCTTGATAATTGCAGAAATATCAACCAAAAAGAAGTTAATGAATGAAAGAGTTTTGTTTCAGAGATTCTTGGAACATTCTGGCACCGTTTGCATTATTGATGCCAGTTGGTAAAGATTTTGCCTCATATATTGATGGACAGCCCTGCAAAATTTATAAGGTGAACATAATTTTCTCAAATGCCCTTAGTGAACCGTGGAAAAAAAGTTTATATGTTGTGTACGATTTAGATTTCCGTCCGATTTAGATTGAACTTATCGCGGACGTCCGATTTAGATTACAGTCTAAATCGAACGTCCGATTTAGATTCAATCTAAATCTTATATAGATTGAACAATAATACGTCTTATATAGATTGAACAATAATATAAACATGCTTAATATATGTTCTTAAGCGTTTTCTGTAGTTTTCTGCATTTTTCAAAGGTCTTTTATTGATTACAGTCTATATCGGACGTCCGATACAGATCGAACAATAATAAACGAAGCCTACAATTTGATGTTGGGTTTTCTTTTCAGAAAAAGACAGTAACAGACCTTTGAAAAATGCAGAAAACTACAGAAAACGCTTAAGAACATATATTAAGCATGTTTATATTATTGTTCAATCTATATAGGATTTAGATTGAATCTAAATCGGGCGAAACATATACATATTGCAGCAAAATGATGTGTATAGATAGAGAGCTTAACGGTATACATATCAAATAGTAAGTATAAGTATTTTTCTTATTGAAACTTAGGAAGAGCTCACATGTCTGCCCGATGTCAACTACACAAGCTATGCAGGTGCCGATCCCGGTTTCTTTAAGAATCCAGCACATCACGTTGTTGATGGCAAGTGCGTTCACAATCTCCAAACTTTACTTTGAAATCGAATTTTCAGATCTTCCGAAATAAGAATACAATCAAGATCAAGTGTCACCAGTGTATATACCGACAGCAAATGCACCTTTTGCCTCCAATTTGATACGCGTTATCCCAGTATCTGTTTAAAATTTGATTGGTTTTCCGGTTCGCGTAGAATTAAAGATTTACAGGGTGCGGCCAAAATATCCGGCGATGAAAAGACCGACTGGTCTTCAGAAAATTAGCAGAAAAGCTTTATAGAATTTTACTGAAAATAACAACAACAGTCCAAATAACAAAATAAAAACAGTTAAATCTCAAAGTTTCCTCCTTTTTCCTTCATGCAAGCCCTAAGTCGCTTCGGCACATCGTCGACCGCGGCACGGAGAGTCTCAACGGGGATTTTTGCCCATTCCTTGATAAGGGTGGCTTTCAGATCATCCAAATTAGCATGTGGAGCTGATGAGACCTTTGCCTTCAAGATTCCCCATATGGCGAAATCCATAGGATTGATGTCAGGTGAATTTGCAGGCCATTCTTCCGGGGTAATGAAATCCACGTTTTGCTTGGCAAACCACTCCATGGTCTTTTTTGCACGATGTGCTGGTGCAGAATCTTGTTGAAAGATCCAAGGTGCTCCAGAAAAGTGATTATCAGCCCAAGGCTTCATATGCCTCATCAAAATTTCTTTTTCGTAGTAATTTTGATCAATTTTCACACCTGGCTGCACAAAAACAAGAGGTGTTTTTCCATCAGCGGTCACCCCGGCCCAAACCATCAACGATTTTGGATGAGCCGATTTTTGGACAATTCTTCCCTGAGAATTTGCCGTGGCAACATCTTTTGTTAAAATCCGATTATTTTGCTTGTTGAATTCCTGCTCAATTGTGAATGGCGCTTCATCCGACCAGAGAACCCTCCGATGCGTGCCACCCTTCAAACGCCGCAACAAAACTTTGCATTTCTTAAGTCTTTGTTTCACTTATTTATCAAAAAAATCACTTATTTATCAAAAAAATAATTGAAACATATAAAAAAGAATAAAAAAATGCATAAACATAAAAAGAAGCGTGAATAAATGAGTTTTCGCAGTATTATGGCAAAAAGTACGTTCCGCCGGATATTTTGGCCGCACCCTGTAGATTGAATATGAATATCGAGGATTATTAAATTTTTGATTAAAGACAAATCACATTTAGCTGAGCGTCTCAATCGTTTTTCCTACTGGGCTTCTCCTTACTTTCCTTGGATTTTCGATCGTTCAGCCCAAAAGGAACTGGGACAAAGTTGCTATGAAATAGACGCCAACACCTATTTCTACGTTTGAAATTGAAGCAGGAAATTTCGCTCAAATTTGCTATTTAGAATGACCAAACCAGACCAAACTTTACTGTGAATATTCAAAAGTTAGCATATGGGCTTTTGACAATAAATGCGTATTCGAACAAGCCCTATGATAATGCTTCACAAACCTTCAATATGACGTACGTCATTTAATCGAAAATGATCACCAAAAATTTTTCAGTTTTTCTTCTCGTCCAGATGAACAACACCACTTTATAGCGAATTACATTCAGGTATTGAAATTTTAGTTGAATACTGATTGAATACTGACTAGAACTAGACTAGACTAGAACTAGACTAGAACTAGACTAGACTAGAACTAGACCAGAACTAGACTAGAACTAGACTAGACTAGACTAGAACTAGACTAGACTAGGACTAGACTAGACTAGAACTAGACTAGACTAGACTAGACTAGAACTAGACTAGAACTAGACTAGACTAGAACTAGACTAGACTAGACTAGAAATAGACTAGACTAGACTAGAACTAGACTAGAACTAGACTAGAACTAGACTAGACTAGAACTAGACTAGACTAGAACTAGACTAGACTAGACTAGAAATAGACTAGACTAGACTAGAACTAGACTAGAACTAGACTAGACTAGAACTAGACTAGACTAGAACTAGACTAGAACTAGACCAGAACTAGACTAGAACTAGACTAGACTAGACTAGAACTAGACTAGACTAGGACTAGACTAGACTAGAACTAGACTAGACTAGACTAGACTAGAACTAGACTAGAACTAGACTAGACTAGAACTAGACTAGACTAGAACTAGACTAGACTAGAACTAGACTAGACTAGACTAGAAATAGACTAGACTAGAACTAGACTAGACTAGAACTAGACTAGACTAGAAGGTGAACACAAATTCTAGTGAAACATTTCGGAGGGAAAATGAGCTAACTTTTGATCTTGGATTATTTATTTGTGAATATGAAATCGAAGCATTTCCTTTTATTGGAAGTTTAAGCTTAATACTGAATTTTATCTCCCTTTTAGCAATTTTGTGCAAATCTTTTACGAGAGAAGAATTTCCAGGCTATTTGGTGCCCAAATCTCCCTTTAATAGATGATTTCGGCTATCAGATGACTGTCACGGAGGCCTGGGATCAAACAGACCCGACACCAAAGGAGCCGAGTATAACAACAACTAAAAGGATGACCCAAAAAACCACAGCCTCAACCACAAAGTTTGCTACTACTGCATCAACCGTTGCAACGACAAGTAAAACTAAAATCAAACCTGTTAGCGTGTTGCTATCGTGTTCAGCCGACGATCAACCAAACTCGAACCTTGCTCTATGGATCGGAGCTGGATGTGTATTTGGATTACTCATCGTTCTCTATTTATTGACCAGTTTTCTTTTTGGCATCAAAACAGGACTTGCACGTTTTTTTCTTATTACTTTACTTCTTTTTAGTTACCATATTTGGTTTGGTTCAAAAAAATTTAGTTTGTCAAAGCTTTGACCTCGATGTTTAACTCTGTGAAAGAGAAATTCCAAAGGAAAAAAGGAATCAAGTAAGACTTTCAGTTATACATATAGGCGCATTTTGAAATATACAGAAAATTTTCAGGAACTTCGAAAAGCCAAGCGGAAACCGCGACATATCACCAAACTAGCGAGATCTGTGATAGAAGTCAATAAAAAAATTGTCGAAGAGGAAACCCGTGTGCGTCATAAATATCCGGGATGATTCATTTCATGGGTTGAATTTTGTCGAACAACATATTGCTAATTTCATTGTACTTCGTTTGATATTTTTTTTGCTTGTCAGTTTTATAAAATTCTACCAAAACTTTCTATTATAATACAGAACAAAGCATCTTAAGAAGTACATTGTAAACAGGCAAAGTCCCACAGATTGTTAAAATGCTTTAGTATCGAAGAGAGAAACGATTTAGCAAGTTAACAGCAAGTTAAAGCAAAAATCTACAAGGTGGGCCCAAAATGTTAGATTTGGACCATTTTCCAGTTGTGCAGTCGATGAAGAATCAGCGATTTGATTGAGGGATCGGACGTTCGCCATTTGAAGCAATGTTTGGTCGGAAGATGACACTTGGCTTTGAAAAAAAGAGAGCTACCAACAAATCAAGATGAAATCGAAAATGAGGTAATAAAATCAGATTTTAATATTATTTTTGTCGGTCAAATTTATTCGTTTGCTGCAGGTCGATGAAAACAAAGAATTTGACGACTGGAGTGAATCGATTCGAGCCGCATAGACAGAAAATCCAACTTTTTTCCCGGACACGAGTGACGAAGCCGACGAGGAGTTTGAGAAAGCAACAGGAAAGTCATAGCATGAATATGAATGTTTTATTGTAAAGTTAATTTAATATTTTGATTCAGAGTTAAAACAGTGAGATGAAAATATTCTGCGACACGGAGAGGGAGCCCTACAATGCCAAGAAGTGCAGGCTTCAAAAAATAGGCATGCTTTGTTTTTTCATTTAAATTTAATCTATTTTGTTAGATTTGGACCAGTTGCGGTGGAAAGAACAGGCCGACTACCGATAAATTCTGTTGGTGGTCCAATGATTGGCTTCATCGCTTTTTGGTTTTGGAGGTTTTTGAGGTCATCTATTAGGTTGTCCAGTTATGAATGCGCGCCTGCTCTTAAACAGCGTACCTTAGGGCTATACAATTTTATCAAACCCTATTCTCTATATGCTGTCTAAGATTTCTTATTTATTACAACTTTTCGTGTTTTTGACGTTAAACTAATTCATTTTTGATTTAATTTCCGTGTTTAGATGACCGAGACGAAGTTTCGTCTTCGTGCCAGTCTTTGGTATGACTTCAAATTGGGCAAAAATACCGTTGAATCTCATCGAGATCTCTGCAAAGTATTTGGCGAAGATGCTATTTCAGAAAGCCAGTGTCGCCGATGGTTTCAACGATTTCGAGAAGGAAATGAATCTTTGGAAGACGAAGACCACCAACGACGACCTCTTGCGATCGATAATGCAGTACTGAAGCAGGCGATAGAAATGGATCCTCGACAAACTACACGTGAACTTGCAGAAATATTTAGAGTAAGCCCTCAAACAATTTCCGAGCATTTAAATCAATTGGGGGAAAACAAGCCGACAAGGGAAATGGGTTCCTCATCTTCTCAGCAATGCCAATAAAGCTACTCGTGTCACTATGGCGGGTATTCTTCTTCGTTTGGCAAAAAATACTGGGTTTTACGATGAAATCCTTACTTGCGATGAAAAATGGATTCAATATGATAATTCTACACGAAAACGGCAATGGCTAGAACCTGGTGAGGAGCCAATACCAACACCAAACCCCGACTTCCATGGAAAGAAAGTAATGCTTACTGTCTGGTGGAATTCCCAAGGCATTGTTTATTTTGAGCTGCTTAAACCTGGACATACAATCACGGGTGAAACGTTTGCACAACAACTGGAACGAGTGAACAATGTATTGCTACAAAAAGGCCTTGATCCTTCAATCATAAAGTTTATTCGAGATAACGCCCGTCCACACGTTGCAAAGATTGTTCAGGAAAAACTCGAAGAGTTGGGCTGGGAAACTCTCCCGCATCCGCCATATTCTCCGGATATTTCTCCTTCGGATTACCATTTATTTCGCTGAATGCGAGACCATTTGGCCGGAAACAAGTTCAAAGAAGTTGAAGAGGTCGAAAAATGGATAGCCGACTTCTTTGCCTCAAAACAAGCCAATTTTTACGCGGAGGGAATTCATTCTTTGCATGGAAGATGGAAACAAATATTGTTAACAAATGGTGAATATATTATTGATTGAGCTGTTAAGCTGTTGGTTTTAAAATAAAGAGTTGTTATCTTAAAAACGCGCATTTATAACTGGACAACCTAATAGAATCAAATGAGGGATTTTATCAGATTGCCACTAAAAACGAAATTCTTCAACAAAAGTAATTTTTTAAATGGTTATTTTATAGTTATATGATAGTTATAATCACATTTTATTTAGGGCTAACAAGGAACCAATTCAAATCAGTTAATAACAATTTCATCACTGTTAAAAAAGTGCCACATGTTGTTCCGAACCGCTGTTGGAGCCGAGTCTTTGACTGAATCGCAAGGTAAGTCTATTTAATCTGGTTCTGAAATATTAAGTTAAATTCATTTGAAAATGGATATTATTTATTTTTTAGGCCATAAGCACTGGAACTGTGTGACAAATGGGTGTGTGAATGGAAGGTATGCCTATCGAAAAGCAAATGTCCTCTGCAATAGCCGAGTTGTATCAATCCTCTTCAGATTTTCTGCAATAGCCGATGCCACCATAGCAATTCCTAACACCATAACAAGGGCAAATTTTGTAAATCTTTGTTAATTTTGTTTGTCGCTATTGTTTAACTCGAGATCATTTGTTATTATGTTCGTTAATGTTTGCTTGTGTTCAATAAAAGTAGTTTAAACCTCAGGAATTACCTTGACAATATACATCACTGAGCAACTCAATATCAACATACTAACTTGGATTTAAGATACCGTTTTTAATTTCCATTTGAAGGCAAATTTCTAGAAAAAGCTACTTTCACTCATAGTCGGCTAGCCGATTATGATTTTCGCTAGCGAAATCATTTGATTCATCTATATGAATGTTTTTCAATTATTTAAAGCCTCAAAAGAATTCTGACAAAATCTGACAAAGAAATCTGACAATATGAATCGACCTATTGGGTAGAGAATCAAAGCTCTCTTGAATTACCATGTCAACAAGTCACCAATTGCCAACAAGATCATCAAAACGAGCTTATAATTTTTTAAATGAAAAGTTGTATCAATTCTCTTCAGATTTTCTTTTCATGAGATGCACCTTCTAAGAGCGAATGACTTAACATTCTTTTCTCATTCTAATCTTCTTTTCTCTTTTCCCTTTTCTCTCGTCTTTTGTTTTCACAAGCAAACGATTGGTATTTCACCATTATTTTTTTCCTTAAAATGTATTTCGTATTTTCGTTGGAATTGTTTTCTTTAATAGTTTTTGCTCAAGATTTGACACCCTGTGATAAAAGTTCCGTAAAAGGTTTGATATTTGGCCAAGAAAATTTACGGAGATACACAGAGATCAATAGCATAAGTGTACTTATAGAGTGTGTATTTGATCTTTCCTGTGATGCCCCTTCATTCGCC